CATCTGTGGCAACATGGATGGAGCCGGAAGCAATACTCTAAGCAAAGCGAACCAGAAGGAGAGAGATAAATACTGGATGGTTTCACTTATTTGTGGAATCTAGAGAAATTAAAGGATCAGGCAAAGACATGCTGTAAGTCTTGAAAGCAGACTGTAGATCTGAGGGGAAGGGTGAGGGAGAAAGTAGAAAACAGGGGGGGAAGGTGATGGTGGTGGAGGATTGTGGGTACTTGGTGGTGGGAAAACTATGGGTGTCTGCACCTAAGGGGAGGAATCCTATATTGTTAAAAAAAAAATCAACAACAGCCACAAAAGAATTATAGATAAATAGAAAAGATGGAAAGTGGTTAAGTGCTGTGAAGACATAAAGTCATGTCATTCTGTGACTTCAAAGACGTTGATAGCTATGATTGTAGGAACTTTTTGTAAAATATTCTGTCCCTTAATCTTTATTCGAACAGGTAACAGAATAAAGTCATCTTCACAGCCTCCATTCTGCCTACAGGAATCTGCTACATGAAGATAAAGCCAATGTGGTATTTTTTTTAATGATATGTTTATTTTTACATCATCTTGTGAATTTTTTCATCTCAGTTGTAATCCCTGTGGGTTTCCCATCACCAACTCACCCATGTGCTATCACCATAGTCCAGTGCATTTCCCTCCCCCTCCGCTGTTCTTGATAAAATCAATGTTTTTACACCCATTAATGATCAAGGAGCCAAATAAAGAAGATTTAACACGAGTATGGAGCATCTCTCAAGTTCATTTTGTAGGAAGAAGTTAAATCCTGCACTCTTTCATTTTCCAGCATAGGTCAGTGTAACTTAGAACGAGTTCTTCCCTTCTATGAAGAATTAATGTTCTTATGTAACTCACTATGCCTACCTATAGAAACTGAATTCAAACTCATGTATATTGGAAACGTTTCACAGAGTAAGAGCTGTCAGATGGCTTCCAGGTTTCCAGTCCTTAACTTTGATTATCTATTGACTCTGCCCTTTATTGAGACTTTATACTGCATTAACACTGGTAAGTTACTCTGCATGTGGCAAGTGGCTTTAATATGGGTCTTGAAGACAGGGTGGCTTTGGGTATTCAGAGGGGAGGACAAGGAGTAGGGTGGGCTCACACTGTGAGGACAGTGTGAATGTCCTTTGTTTAAGTCTCACAAGTCGGTAGGCAGATGGTAGCTTGCAGGATCTTTGTAGGAGGTGGCTGGAGTTACAGCAAGTGGGCTTTGGTCATTGGGTCAGCTGGTGACTCCCAGCAATGAGAAGAAGCCTGTTTGTAGTCAGGGCAACCACCACATCCAGCAACAAGAGTAATGGGCATATTCTTCTAGAAAAAAACATCCAAAATGCATGCCTTATAAATTTAGAATCATTTGCTTGGATTTTAAAGTGCCCAACAAATGATACACTTGGTCTTTCATTTAAAGCAGTAACAATTACTAGAGTTATTCAGATTATGTAAATAACTGTTGTCTAAGGCCATTCATAAAGCTCTCTAGGGAGGACCAGGAATTCCAATTACTCTTGCTATGGCTGAGCTAACAACCATTTAATTCTATTTTTTCCACTGATAAGGACTGTGTCTTTCAAGAGTTTTTAACCACTCTTTCAATTCCCGTAGCTGTAAAAGCAGAATAACACTTTACCCTCTGCGAACACTGTTAAGTGTGAATTGCATGTGTCTATATATCCTATCATTTCTTCATAGAAAAATAAAAATGTGCCATGGAAGGGCAGTGAGTGCTTTGCTTCCTTCCTTACTGAAGTGTAATTCATGACTACAAAGTGATGGTCTTAGGCGTCCTTTTCTGTGATCCTTGGATACTGTTTCTATTTTCCTAGTTGGATTTAGATCTAGGGAAAAACGCTTAACTAGATTTTACTATTTCGATTCTTTGCGACCGGGTTTAGTTTTTAGGCAGCTTTGTGAAGGCTGGAGCTTGATAAGAAACTTCTGCTCTTAAGGAATCTTAGAGGTGTCAGTCAATGCCTTGCTGTGGAGAATCAGCGAAACGCCCTGCCGCTGAAGTTTAAAGATAATTCGCCGGAATCTCTTCAGCCAAGTGAAACTCTTTAATCTATTCTGAACAGTGGGGAAAACAGATAGGGCCCAGAGGAGTTGAGAAGAGATTCTAGCCGCATCAATCACCAGCGGCGTTACTAAGAGTCAGTGGCAGATGCAGTCACCACTAGTTAGAAATGTTAATTGATGGCAGTATGGAAAGCATGACCCAGGTGTGAGGCGATGGCGTGTCATTTCTGCGGATGGCTTGGATGAATGTCAGAGGCGGATCTTCTGTGTCCTCTATTTTATCCGTCTCATTTATGGATAAGCAAACCAGCAGGGGTGGGGGAAGGGGATGTGATTTCCCGGGGGTCACCTCACAGCTCCAGAACACTGGTCTCCCGTTGGGCATCAATTGTCCCCCACAATAGGCAGGCAAAGACTGCTGTCTTCCTGACAAGGAAGAGTTCAGAACCGGGGTCTAGGAGCAAGTCCTCGTCCAGTGTCGTTTGTTTCAATCTTCCGCTGGTTTCCTTCATAGCTCTGATCACCACTCGTAGTAACTTTACGTTTATTGGTTTTCTGACCTCTGGGAGCAGACGTATGGTTCCCTTGGCGAGGAGTGGAGCACACGCTAATTAATGGCAGTTGTC